AAAAAAAAAAAAAAAAATTCAACCAGGAACAGGAAAAAGCTGAAAACTACAGTCTGGAAGGGGAAGAATAAAGAATAATAGTAAAAAGGAGAAAAGTAATAATAATAGTAGTAGTTTTAAAACAGACAAAAACAAGCAAACTAAAAAACAGAAAAAAGAAAAAAAAAAAAATGGGGCAGGGCACCCAGACTCCATCTGAGCACACAGACTGGGATGGAGTTCCTGGGTGGGAGTGAGGGATGGCCACACCTCCGTTCATCAAGAGGTTGTGGGGTATGAGAGTAACAAGGGGAATGTAGCACCTTTCCAGTCGTCCACATCTGGAATGTCCTTGTGATTCTTGGCAAGTGGATCCTGTTCTTAGGTCCCTGGAATCTGGGAGAACACTGTTGCTTTAAATATCCAAAATGGTAAACCACTTGTAAACATATAGCTGCGCCCTCTGGACAGGTAAAAATCCACAGCTTAACCGGCCTTTCTCTCCACTGCTTCCCCTTTTATTCTTGGCCACCAGAACAGTCCTCCTTGCAGTCCCTAGCTAGCAGGGGTGATTTTTAGGTAAATTCTTAGGTCCTACCACCACTCAGCAATATCCAAGCTGTCTGTGCCGTCAGGATCGCTGCCAGACCCCAGCTCCATATGTCTTCTTTTTTGGTGTTTTCATGCAAATTCTTCTGCTAGTTGGAGTTTGGTCCGCTTCTATATCCTTACCTTCAAGGCTCAGGGGTCCAGAATTATCTTCTGTATCTGTGTTAATTGGTTCCCCTTTTCTTTGTTGAAGAGGGTCTGTGCAGTCTTTCTGCCTATTCCGCCAGAATATCTTACTGGAACTTCCCCAGAGGTTGGAAGTTTTAAGGTGCCTAATAGTAAAAGCCTAGATTGCCTTGAAGAGACTGTTGGTAGAATTATGAATATCAAAGGCAATTCTGGTGAGAGCTCAGAAGGATGTGAGGGGAGCTATAGAGAAAGTCTCTGTTGTCACAGGGGATACAAATGGTGCCAGCAATAGAATGTTAGAAATGTGTTAAAAATTGTGCTTCTGGTGACGTTTGAAAAGAAAATGATGAACATGTGATCGAATAATAGAAGAAGGGTGAAACTTCTTATGCAGTAGCAAAGAACTTGTCTGAATTATGTTCAAATGTTTGATGGGAGGTAGAACTTATAAGTGATCATCTTGGACATTTGGCTAATGAGGTGTCTAAGTAAGGGGTAGAAGATTGGGACCAAGCCACTGAGATGGATGAGAAGAATGGGGACACTGAATGCTGAGGGAACATAGTTGCCATCCTAGAGGGTTTGGGAGGTGGAGCTAAAGGCCAGAGCTGAGGGTCCTCCACCTAGAATCCAGAGATTGTGGCCAGCACCCAGACTCTGGAAGGCAGAGCCATTGCCCAGATGGTCTGAGAGAAGTGAGGATTATTTTCAACCCTTGAGAGCTAATGTAATTTGTTCTGCTGGGTTTTGGACGTGATTGATGCCTATTTTCCCTTCTTTCCGTTCACAGTTTAGATGGAAACGTTCACTTTGTGCATGTTCCACCACTGTACTTTGGAAACAGATAACGTGTATTCTAGATTTCTCAGGTTCACAAAGAGGAATTTTGACCTGGGTCAGAGGATTCAGAAAATGAGATTTTGGACTTGGAGGTGATTTAAGACTTTGGGAATGATGTGAATGTGTTTTTTAATGTGTTTTGCATGTGGTAAGGACATGAATTTTGGGGAGCCAAAGGGTAAAATGTTATGGATTGAATTATGCCCCCCCCCAAAAAATATGTGATTTAAATCCTAATCCCTATGTCTGTGGTTATAATCCCATCTGAGAATGGATTAACTTTGTTATGTTAATGAGGCAGGATTAATGTAGGATGTGCCTTGAGTCAATCTCTTACAGGGTATAAAATATAAATTAAGCAGATTAAGCAAGCAGAGATGAAGGAAAATTGATGCCAAGACACATGGAGATCTCTAAAGAAGAAAAAGGAAGCAGAAAGTGAAGAGATAAGGACCTTTTGCCAAAGCCAACAGAGAAAGAAAGCCTTCCCCTTGAGTTAACTCTCTGAATTCAGACTTCTAGGCATCTAAATTTTGAGAAAATAAATTTGTTTGTTAACATCATCCACTTGTATTTCTTTTGTAGCAACACTAGATAACTAAGACAAGTCCTTAATAGGGGCTTCCCCTCTGAGAGACACCACAGGTGACCTACAAAAAGGCTCCGTTGGAATCCTCCAGCCCCCTGAGGGATCTTTCTCTCTATATATAACTGATTGTAATTCCCTTAGCTCCTACTTGGACCCCTTTTCTAATCTCCAGGGGCTCTTGCCTTATAGTGAGCTTAGGCCAGAGTCCCTCAAATACCCAAACCAAACCAGTTGCTCTAGAGTGAAGTCTGACTCATGGTGAGCCCATGTGTGCAGAATAGAACTGCTCCATAGGGTTTTCAATGGCTGTGACCTTTTGGAAGTAGATTGGCCGGCTTCTCTTCCAAGGTGCCTCTGGATGGTTCAAACCACCAACCTTTCAGCTAGTAGTGGAGATTTAACTACAGGCACCACTCAGGGACTGTTGGGCCAGAGCCCCAGGCCTCTCTCACTTGGGAGTTCCCATTTCCTACTGTTTGTGCACTGACAGAAGCTGACTCATGCAGGGGAGACAGGCAACACCCAGGGTTCATCACCACTAACACCAGTGACCCCTCTTCCCTCACCAGATGCTCACCTGACTCCCCAGAAGGCACCATCTCTCCAGGTGCACCTGCACAGAAGGAAAAGCAGTAGTCACATAACCATCATCATTTGGGTGGGGAGAAGTTATTCTGAGGAGAATCTCTCTCACAGGCTGACGTGGAGTACGTCGAGTGGAAGCAGGAGCAAGCTAGGGGGGCATTGTTCCATTGAAAGGGGCAGCCACCACCCCCCCAACCCAGGCAGCTGAAAAAGGTCTGCCCAATATGACTGGTTTTCCAATTTTCCATGAGAAGTCAGAGATCCAGCTTTATGGGAAACCTGATTTTAAAAAAGTTTGGCAACTATCATATTTCATTAAGTCAAAGATGCCATCATTTGCAAGACCTACATGATTTTATCGTACTATAAGTAAGAAAAGGGAGCTCTGGTGGCACAGTGCCTAAGGCATTTGACTGCTAACCAGAAGGTGGCAGTTCAAACCCACCAGCCACTCCACCAAAGGAAGATGGGGCAATCTACTTCCATAAAGATTTACTGCCTTGGAAACCCAATTGGGGTTGCTATAATTCAAATCAACTCCATGGCAGTGGGTTTGGTTTTTATAAGTAAGAAAAACCACAGCCAGTTAGAATTGTAAGTTACAAAGGATGGTAGTTTTAAGATATTTGTAATTTTAAGATGCATCTTGATTTCAGAGATGTTCAAATGTGAAAGAATATGTTGTAGAATTAAGTAAATAAATTAAACAACAATTCTGTGAGCCAAATAAAACATGTTGTTGTTATGTGCCATCGAGTCAGATGCGACACATAGCAACCCCTCCTTGGGTTTCCAAGGCAGTATCACTACGGAAGTAAATTGCCCCATCTTCCTTCCGAGGAGTGGCTGGTGGGTTTGAACTGCCAGCCTTCTGGTTAGCAGTCAAGTGTGTTAGGCACTATGCTACCAGAGCTCCAAATAAAACATACCTGTACACAAATGGGCTTTAGTTTGCAAGCACTTTCTGTTCTGTGCCCATCAAGATGAAGGTGCTGACTCTTGACCACATGAGCCCCACCCCATGCCAGTCCTGAGTGATAGGAGCCAAGGGCCTTGCCCTGAGTGGAGCCTGGGGTTAGTCTGTGGGTTGAGCCCCTGTTTGGGCTGCCTAGGAGTGAGATAAGTCCCTTTTATACCTGCTCTGAGCTGCAGCCACCCCATCAGTCTGGTCTGGGGTGTGGCTTTCCAACCCATTTACCAGCTTCTCTGTCTGTTCTAGTTCCCTAGTGACCCCTCTCCTAGTTCTGTCATCTTTTTCCCCTCAAGATGCCCACCCTCAAAAGTCCCAGTCCTTGTATATTTCCTGTCCTTTAGGTCAGCCCTAGGACACAGACACCAGAATGGAATACTCAGCATGTGGCTATAAACATTCTACACACTGCAAATGGTAGCACCATGTGCAAAGTGACCAAAGAGTGGCCAATACTAAGGGTACAGAGAATGTACCCAGAAGGGAGTGAAAATATAATTTACTAAATACGTCCAATGTTTTAGGGAAAGTAATTCACAAGTAAGTGATTATATTTTCTATAATGAATGTGAATTACTTGTATTATGAGAAAAAAAATATTAAACCCATGCCAATATTACAGTTTCTCTTTTTTTACACCCAGTGAAACCTTTCTTAAATTACTTGAGTGCTTAAAAATACTTTTGTAAATAAAACAAAACAAAAAGCACTCAAATCAGTACATTCAGATAAGCAAAGAGAACAATAAATATGTTACCCATAGGACTACCACCCAGAGGTAACTGCTAGTTATATTTTTATGTCTAACTATCGATCATTTTTTTAAATATATATGTATGTGTGATGGTTATGTTTGTGTGTCAACTTGGCTGGGCCTGGTTGAGTGGCTGGGCAGCTGGTGGTAGTTATTCCCCATGATGAGACTGGTAATCGACCCCATGGGTGGGATCTACCATAAGCAGCTCAGTAGCTGCCTTTGGGATATGGTTTGCTTCCTGTATTTAAGGAGAAGCCTTAGGAATGGTCTCTAGTATATGGCATGCTTGGACCCTGCATGTAGCCATGCAGTTGCTCAGCAGCCTGCCATGCTCTGCTGACCTTGGGACTTAAAATGGACTTAAGTTAACAGCCTGCTGTGTGGTTTGGTAACATCAGGACTGTGCCTTTTTACTTGTCAACTTTGGAGCTTCTCAGCCTCAGCAGCAAGCAGCTGTCTGAGTGAAGAAATGCCTCTAGCTCCAGTGGGCCGGGAGCAGGAGGTGGACTTGGACCCCAAGGTTGAGGGGCTTTCATCCAGCCCCTAGCATGGCACTTTGAACTTGGACTTATAGCCTCCAAATCTAAGAATAAACTCCTGTTTTTAAAGCCATCCCATTTGTGGTATGTTTCCTGTCAGAGTGGCACTAGGTAACCAGAAAGTATGTATAATTTTTTTTTTCCTGCCATTTTTCTTGGATTATCACCTTGTGTGAGGAGAGTAAGCAGATTTTGGAAGAACTGGATTAAACAAAGTTAGCTTCTCTTTTAATCTGGCAGTGTATATTTTTTGAGGTTCTTTTGCAAACAGTCTCACTGCCTACAGACTCGCTCATTTCATCATTGTTCTACCAAGCAAAGTGCCATAATATTTATACTGCATCCTTATAATAAATCATGGAGTTTGGAAACAATTATCCCATAACATGAGTTTTGTAGAGATCAGTCCTGAATTTCCCCAAGCATATGAGGAACATTGATGGTGTAGTAGTTAAAGCATTTGGCTGCTAACCAAAATGCTAGTGGTTTGAACTCACCAACCGCTCAGCAGAAGAAAGATGAGGCAGTCTGCTTCCATAAATTTCCAGCCTTGGAAACCCAACAAGGGTTGATATGTCAGTAAGTTTGGTTTGGTTTTGGTTAGTATCTCAAGAGAGTGGGGACTGATCATTTCGTCTTTTGCTGCTTAGGCAGCTGAGGCCCAGAAAGACTGGGTGACTGATCAAGGTCACCCCACAAGTCAAGGTTATAGCTTGGAAGAGGTTGCAAGGTTTCTTTAGACATGGTAATGGCCATGGTAAAGGCTCATGTTCCCCCTCCCCATCTGCCAATATTGTAACACTAACTTTGTCACATCTATTATATCTGTCCAGGACTTTTCAGTTTACACGACATCCTCATGACCTTGTTTCCATCCCAAAAAGTTCTAAGTCCTCATGTCCTTGGACTAATTCTGTTTTCTTTAAAGCCACTGGACAACTGATTACCTCCATAGAGTTGTAGTTCATCCTTTGAAAAGCCAGGCTCTGCATGCTCGGCAACTGATGAAGACATAAACCCTTTTAGTCAGCTCCCAGCCATCACAATGTCCCATATGTCTGAAGTCTTAAAAGTTAACATGGGCCTTCTGCAGGGGTGGGGTGGGATGAGGAGTTGTCAAGAGGCAAAATAGCTTACAAATGCCTTCATTTTACACTGCCTCTTCCCAGGGCCCCCAGAGGTGAGTCTTCAATTTACTTAGATTTGGGGCCTGAGAGTAACAGGGCCCTATTGAAAGTCAATAATAATAATTGCCATTTATTGAGTATTCACTAAGTACCAACTTTGTACTAAGTAATCTATAGTTAATATTTCATTTGATCCTCATGGAATTCCTCTGAAGAAGGTATTACTTTTCTCCCCATCCACATCCATTTTTATAAATATAGAAACTGAGGCTCAAAAAGTTAAATTATTCTCCCAGATCACACAGCTTGTACGTGGTCTCCAGGATTCAAATCCAGGTCTATCTTCAAAGCCCACATTCAACTCAACTCCAGCTTCACGGAGGCATTTATTATGTGTGCCAAAGTTTGTACTAGACACTTAAAAAAAACCCAACTTGTGATCCACTAAATTCTGACTCAAGGCGATCACATATGTTTCAGAGCAAACTGTACTCCATAGTGTACGTAGAAACAAAAGATCTTCCTCTAGTTATCAAAATAAAATATGCTAATTTGGGAGCTCTGGTAGCATAGTGGCTAAGACACTTGCCTGCTCACCAGACGGCTGGCGGTTCAAACCCACCAGCCACTCCTCGGAAGGAAGGTTGGGCAATCCTACTTC